AAAGCGTTACAAATATGTCCACTGCCTCTTCAGTCTCCACAGACATGTTCCCAATAGTCGGTCTTCTGAAGCACAAAATAGCAGTCAGATGTGGGTCAGGTGCAGGGCCAGATGGATGTGGATGTAATAGAGATTAATTGCAAAATAAGTCTAGCTCTGCATGTGCACCACTCTTCTGCAAGTATAGAAAGAAATGTAACGATTTAACAGTAATCCATGCATTGGTTGGCTGAGAAGTCAATAACAAAGTGCACTAAATTGATAGACCTGTCAACAGTCAATGGCCCATCTCAAAAGGTTAGAAACTATGCATGTAAGAAACAAATGCCACTAAATTAGAGCAATAAATTGTGTTCTTTTGTTTGTTTATTTTTTACATATATGGAACATTATATAAATATTGAAATTATTAAATGGTGATACTGTAGATTTAACGTGATGTTGGTCCAATATTTCACATTTTTATATTGTATTGAGAATCACGTAAAATGTTTTGGTGAATGTGAATAAATTAAAATTGTTCAAATCAGAGGGTCATCTTTAATGCATTTTCTTTATGATAGAAAGCTTACTGCAACCAGGACTTGAAACTGCTGTTGTAAACTAAACTATAAGATCCATGCAGCACTTTTAAGGCTAATTGTAGCTTCCAGTAATATTGTGTTATGTTATTTTTCTGGGTCATTGTGGAAATTATATGACAATCTTTAAAGAAATTGCCATTAACTGTACGCCCATGTTTTCTGAGATTTGGATTGATGTAGATTTGCTACAATATCTAAGCAGTTTCCCAGAAGAATTTTCCAATGTAGTTTTTGCCCCTAAAGCTTCATTTCACTAAGCGCTAATTATGACAACAAGGAGTTCTCCTCAAATTAGCTGTGAGACAAAGTCATGCTGACTGCTTTTATATCTTTTTTGCATAAACAATGAGAAGATCACAAATGACTGAATATATGTTTTTTTCAGATTTGTAGAACTTTTCATCATTGGTGCATAAGTAACACTCACAGTGGTTTGGAGATTTTCAAGTTCCCTAGAGTAATGACTGAAGTAATCTCCTAACATACAAGATTAATACAGACAAGATGTGCCAAACTACATTTTAATAGTACTTCATTGCATGCTAGAATCAGAATGTCTTCATAAATTCTATATATACTGAACAACATTCTACTATCTAGCGAGTTAACTGACTGTACTATTCATGAGACTTCACTTTCATGCTAATTTGAATGTGCCTTGTCATAAATATGCACACGCCTTCACTTACAGGGGACCATCCTCTGCACCAAGGGCTTTAAGAGTTAATTTATTGCTCACTAGATTCTGATTTTGCTGTCATAGCCTTCCCTGTCTCCTCGCCTTGATGCATGCTTCCTACTTTAACCGGCTCCTTCTATTGGGAATGACAGAAAATTATTCATGCAGCACAAATGACAAGGACAGTAACTCCCTGCTCCTATCAATATTAATACTAGCTATCAATATTTAGGGGTATTTTTACATATCCAAGAGCATCTATGGCTTACTACAGCAGAGCTACCACATACTGACGAAAGTGCAAGGAATACGAAAAAAAATATATAAGACAAAGCGGCATCATTTATCTTGAGAACAACAAAAACAAGGTCTTGCCCTTTTGCCATTGATTTGTTGGACAGAAAAGTCGCTATAAAATCAACAGGTTTCCTTCAGGTTTCTTAAACGTTAGGAGATTTGATGAAGATTAAATGCCTGTGTGCGGATTGGAGCGACGATACTTCAAGCTTTGACCTTTCAGAGCCAAACAGAGAGGTAAATATCAAGCCACTAAATATCAGGTTCGAGGTGAGCTGTGCATCCTCCAGGTGAAGGCACTTAGCATGGCAGGGGGAGATTGACAGGTTCACGGTTAATATTTCACATGGGACATTTAAAACCACTGCAATCCTGTTCTGCTAAAATGTGCCAGTGTGTCGGTTATTTTAGACTCGATCTGCAATTTAATCCCAAGTAGTTTCCAAATATACAGTTATAAATTGTGATTACATATGGCCTCAAAATATTTATGAATTGTAAAATAATATATATATATATATATATTTTTTTTAGCTCTATAGAGAAATATCAACTGTTAGTACATACAAATATATATATATATATATATATATATATATATATATATATATATATATATATATATATATATATATATATATATATATATATATATATATATATATATTTAGACACATAACACATATAGGTCACCATGTTACCCTTTACTGTTGTGTTAACATGTTTCGCTTTTGCTTTTGTTGTTCTGAGTTTCCCCTCCCTTTGCTTACTGTGCTAAGTGACACCCCCTTCAGAGCACTATCACAACACAATCAACGTGCTTCTTGCTAATGAAACTACTGCACATTGCATCAAGTTTGTCAAGTTGTTGTGTACAGTTTTGTATCATATTTTTGTGTATTTGTGGAGAATTGTTGAGTAGGAGTATACACAATTTTGCATAATACTCCCTCTTAAACAATATAGTATGATAATCTCACACAATCTCTTTGCGTTATTCTAGTCATAGTCATAATTCTAATAGTAACAGTAGAATAGTGTAATAACTTTGGGTATGTTCCCATTCTGTTGACTGCAGATATATAGAAGAAATCAATTCAAGTCTAACATATTCTATATATTGCAATATATTGCAAGTGACCTCTTGACACATCATATTTACATTACTGTAGAACAGAAACAGCAGATCTTGTAGTGGCATCACTGGTCTGGAGTAGTCAGCCCCATCCTGATGATTTAGAGGAGACTCAGAGTCATCCTAGCATTACAGAGCATTACAGAGCATTACAGTGATGGGACTATCCGCTGGAGGAAGAGCTTTTAACGGCACCTTAGACCACCTGCTCTCACCCCTCAGATGTATCACTGCACTGGACTATTAGTTCCACTCTTCTCCTCCAAAATAGCCCTCTTGGACAGGTCATGGACAGGTCAGAGAAAAAAAACATGTTTCTCTGTCAAGGTCCTGCTCCGTGGCTTAGTCGTTGATTTGCCTTTGGCCGCTTTTGTTTTGAAAGTAGAGTGTTCCCAATTGTGTAGCACTCCGCCTCGCTCGTTATGAGGTTCATTTAGCACAGCTCCAGAATAATCACTCGCCTTTTCATTTTCCCCAAGCTTTAGTTTTTTTTTGTTTTTTTTTCCCTTTTATAATGCCCCACCACCGGGCTGTTTGGCCAATTACAAAGCAGACTTTCTATTACTCAGCATCTTGTATCAAATTGCAATACGCCTTAGGGGACGATCCTGAGAGAGCAAAACACAGCATCAAGGAAAAGCGCAAGTAAATAGCAGTCCATAGTTGTATAGGTTAAGCCGGGATTAAAAATATGTTGCTTATGAGAAGTCATTAACTGATAACACAGAGTTGCTCCAGGAAAAGACTTCAGATTTAAAAATAAATTAGTTAAAAATAAAATCTGGAATTATTGCAGAGTGAAGACATCAAAGGAAGGTACTTGACTTGACACTGGCAATCCAACTGGGAATAGGTAATTGTGAACAAGTAATCCTGCTGCATGCAAAAAGGTTCAGAAAAGTGTGGAAAAAAAACATGCCCTGAAAGCTTCCCAGTTTTGTTTATTTTTTCCACAACAGAACATAAGGCATTTTTAATTCATATATTCCCAAAGGAGATTTCTCATCCTTGTACACACATACCTGTATTTAGAGGCAGCCTAATTAGACTGAGTTGTTGCGGTGCTTATTTGTCCACTGCACTTGCTGACAAGCACACTGCGCTCAATTGTAATGATACATGACCTGGAGACATACAAAGTACTTTTCACTCATTATATTGTCTGATTGGTATTATTTAAGTAGTTGAACAGATTGATTTAAATGCAGCTGCTTGTGAGTTGGAGCTAATCAGTGGTTGTGTACAGTGAGTTGGTGCTATACTCAAGACACCTGCATTTTCCAGCATGCATGAGAAAGCATGGGAACCCAGTGGGAGTCTGTCTTCACGTGGTGCGACTTGGGACGTCGTGTCAAACCAAGCACAGCTGCCTCCATCAACACAGCCCCTAATGAGACGCTTTCATTCCTCTGCTCATGTTTTTGCAACACTCGCACTCTTCATACTCATTTTCATCGAATCAAGTGGGTGTATTCAGTTTAAGTGTGGATGAAATCAAATAGAAACACTTGTTTTTGTTGAAAAAGTACAAACTGCTTTCTCTTTCTCATAGAAAAGCCTTTTATTAGATCTGGACTCATTGAAACAAAAGCATTGAAAAAGTAAGCGCTGTCCCTAGCTCTCACTATAGCTCTTACAGTACATCTGTTCAGTTCAAGTAATAGACTGATAATAGTGCAGCCTGCTCACAGTGCTGCCTCAGACAAATCACTGCACATTACACCAAACAGTCACATTCACAGGGGAGCGCCATCTGCAGTGCCTCTGATGAACTGTACGATGCACTACAAAGATCTGCTCTGTAAGAAAATATGTCTGATCTGAAAAGAATAAAATACAGCTCGGAGTCATTAGGACGTGGCTACAGCTGTTGTATAGTTGGAGCATCAGTCATCTGTAAGATTTGAACTCATCATGGTCCTTGAAGACTGTGCCACTCGTTACATCCAATAATAAACTCCTCACTCTCAAAGTACAACTGAAAATACATGTGTGACATTCATCAATGAGCTGAACCCAAAGAGCTAAAGTGTTCAATATTGTAATGGCGTAAGTTTGTTCTGTACTCATAATTCGGAACAGTTTGTGTGTCATACAAACGTGGCTAAACTCAAACCGTGTGAAAAAATAGGCTCGTGCTGGTAGCAACCCGAGTACACCTGGAGTTTATCTGTTCAAACTGCTCCCACATTGTGCCAGATTCAAGAGTCTGTTGTCCTTGTTTTTACAAAGGCATTGACCTCACACTCAGACTGACCCCAGTGTGCTGCACAGCACAGGGTCAGTCCAACATTGTCCACTGGTGCTAACATTTGAGGTGCTTTTTGCTGGTCATGTCATTCCAGATTCGATGCATCTCCTCAGGGGAGATCTGATGCACAGTGACCACTCTGCGGTAGCGGCAGAGGCTGTAGGCCATCTTCCAGTGGTTGAAGCCACTGTTCTGAAAAGGGTGTATTCCCAGTTTGCGCAGACACACTCCCACATAGACGTCCTCCAGGTGCAGCAGTCTGGTGTGGAGTGACGTCTTGTAGATAAGCTCAGCCACATCGGCGGAGAACACGTAGCCTGTGCCCGAGCAGAATGGGGGGTACTTGCTCTCTGGGTACAGGTCCCGGGGCATGTACCACTTACTGCGCATGTCTCTGATTGGTCCACCGTTGATGACGTAGCCCGTGAAGTACCTCCTCCTGGGTTTGGTACTAGGCTTCAGGAGGCTGTAGATCAAATTCTCCATGTTGACAAAGATATCACTGTCTGTTTTCAGGACATACTGAGCCTTGGAGCAGAAGGTGGCCACCCAGCGCATCCCCATCAGCGTTTTGAGAGTCAGATTGTGATATGAGTCAATAAAGTCCTCTACCACAATGTCATGGAAGATCTGACTCTCTTGCTCAACCATTTGGTTGAGGACAGTGTCAGTACTGCGGCCTAGTAAGAACAGGGTGACCACTCTGACGTCAGTGAAGGCGCTCTCGTCGCCCCAGGTCTCCCTTATGGCCTGCCGCGCATCAAACTCCTTGTGGGTGGTGCTGATGAGTATGATCAGAAAAGGTGTGTCATTGTCACACTTCTTCTCCTCGTTGATGAGGTACCCAAAGTCGTGGGGGTTGAGGGAGCGAGTCCGGATGTTGGAGAAGGTAGTGTTCTTGTTGGCTTTGGGCGTTTTGCGGACAGGCATGGTCACCTGTCCCACATAGGAGCTGGACGATCGGGACACACTCAGGTACCATAGAGCACTGGCCCAGCAAACCACTGTGAGGAGGTAGAGGCAGGAGACCTTAGAAGGCATGTTCACTGGGCACTCTTCAGTGGCAGCAGGGCTGGGTAGAGCGAGGCCACGCCTCCATGGGATGTCCCAGACCTGGAGGCGCAGCTTGAGGCTGCCTCCTCAAAACAGATGACATTAAGTAGAGTGAATGAACTCCTTGGGTCTCACATCAGGGCAAAGATCCAACGGGGCCAGTGCTGAGTCTTTTCCCCATGGTCACAGTCTGCCCCATTCCTTCCTCAGCTCCTGACAGCAACTGCCAACACAGGAAACACAAGAGTCAGGGTCAACATGAGTAGTACTATAACAACAAATAAGTCAAGATACAGTTACTTGAAATGTGTTTGTATGTGACACAGCAGCACTTGATTTGCTGTTTCCACTCATTCATTTAGGCTCATAGTGTCTGAGTGCTGCCAGAGTGGGCCAAACTACCAGTCCACTAGTCCCCAGTACAGACTGTGCAGAGGAGCCACAGACACAGGCTCTGTTCACATGTGGAGTCGAATCCTGCCTCTCTCTCTCACAGACACACGGGACAGTGAGGACTCTCATGAGAAGCACAAATATCACTCCTCTCCACCTTTCATCCACCTGAGTGTCAGAGTGAAATCTGTAGATTTCTTTTACTTTGCTCTGTCTGTAATGAGCCTCTCTTTTGTTAGCGGCTCTGGGAGCAGTAGAATCACAGCTTTAATTGGATACAGTGACAGCCCATAAAGAGCTGAATTTAACTTCTAAACATGGACTGAGATAAAACCTGTTCATTATGAGAGTCAAATGGCTGTGCTTCCGGTGTTTAAATGCGTCAGATGTATCAGGGGAGGCAGTGACGGATGGCCAATTCGCAGGATTTTCACTGTCTGAAAGGCCTTAATCTAATCCTTCTTTACAAACAGACTTTTATTTCGCTCAGACATAATCTCTTTTGATGTGGCAGGCGCTCTTAAACACACAGACAGGAAAATAACATTTTTGTCATGCATAACTGATGATGAACATAAAAACGTAGCGATCCTATTAGAGATAGTGCGGCGGCGTGCAGAGGCTTGTGGCCTGCTTTCACACAGATAAAACACACTTTTATCACGATGGAGATTTGTCGTGTCTGTGGCGGGAGATGATTCTTTTCATCAGGACTTTTTTTCCTTTGGTTCCTCCCTAGTTTCTATCTGCTCTCTCCTCTCTCTGTTGAAGCACAGTCATCAATCTCACGCTCCAGTAGAAGCCATCTCATCATGGCTGCTTTTGCACACCTCCTCCTGCTCTCCATCACTCCGTCCGTCTCTCCTTCACTTCCCTCTTGATCCATCTTTATCTCTCTCCACCTCCCTTCCCATCTGCACTTCCCCTCTCGTGCGCTTCAGCGCGGGATTGTTTTTGTCCATGTGACTTCTCATTTCAGTTTCGCCCATACCATTCTTCATATTGTGTGTGTTATTTCTCTCCGGTGAGCTCTTCCATATCCTCCAACTTATTGACAGCTCCTGCAGCAATCAGTCTCCCTAAAGCCACTCAATCCCACCTCCTCCTATCCGCTCAACTGTCTACGCATGGAAACCCACTAAATCATCATATTCATTTCTGCTCCTCGACCTTTCTCCTCTTGTCCATGGGTTTGCCCACAGCTAAAGTACTATGTCTTGTTTGATTAACCCTTAACTACAGTGGCGTGGCTTCTCTGGTGCACAATAATAAGCAGTTTGTTTGGCCATACTCCTCACGCAGCCTCTTAAAGCAGACTTTCACTGGTGCAAAGTGAAGGATGGCTCTGTCATTTCATGCTCTTGAGTGCATTAGGCTCTGGAGGAATCTTCACCTGAGCAGCTTTTCGAGCACTTACATTTTCTAACAGCCACAATCAAGACGCTGCCTCAGGGTCATGTGTTCATCATCACAGTCGCCCAGGGGTGAAATCACTTTTTCAACACTAGATACACCAAATTCTACTACTCATTTCAGTGCGACGGAAACTCTTTTGATTTGACTATTCTATATGGTGTGTATCCCAGCAACTACAAGTCTTTGGAGAGGTATATGTGTTATGATGTTATGTGAATGCCTCATAAAATCAAACAATACTCTGAAGTTTTAGTCCATTTGCATGTATGCCACTACTGCTGTCACAGATACAGAGATTGTGCACCTGTGGCTTCTCTGACCCCCAACATAAGAACTAGACACAAGGCGGTGTTAGTGTCCCGCTCAGGAACGATAAGCAAAGATTTTGGAGGATAGCCGCCCTAAGCTACTGAGTCTATTTTATGACCTGTTGTAAAATATAAGATGCTATCACAGAGGAGTTGTCATCTCCACTTGTACTGAGGCCTGTGGTAAACTGCTCATAGAGTCTAACAGTGGGTGTGTCTGTGCTTGGTTAGATGGTGTGAGAGATGGAGGTATTGTAAATGTGTCTGTGTGCACACAGTGGCAGTGTTCACATGTGAGGAGGAGTAATGGAGCAGCTCGTGGTGCACTGAGCTCTCTGTGAGGCTGCTGCTGCTGTTGTTAAATTGACTTCCCAGAGGGAGGGTTACATTCAAAATACTTAATGTCAGTATACACTACATTTCCCAAACTCCCTCTCTCCCACAATGCGCTGTCATGGCAACCTGTGTATATTAGCCTATCATTAATGCGAAAGCCTAATAACTGTAATTATGGCCCTTCATATGTATCACTTTTACACATTAATGTCTATCATTACAATAAGGTGGGCTATTTTTAATGGAAATGTAGGGTTATTATTTTGATACCAGCATTTCTCAGACAATACAGTGCAAAATAAATAATGACAATGGAATAGAATATAATGCTTAGGCCTAATTATTGCATATAGTTACTTTAATTGTGTTTAATTTGCAACCCCATAACACAGGTACTATCAGAGGAAAAACTAGCCTAGAGCCTATGATATGCAACATAAATCGAATCAACCAAGACACAGCCGATTATCAAATGATATGAACTCAAGTTGCCTATTATAAATAGAGATTATAAGCAAAACAAACAAAAAACAATCTACTTCATAGGAATGTGTGTGTCATGCTTCAGTTGTGCCTAATGAGAGTATTGCTCACTTCCTGTGTCAGTAATTAGCATGTTAGCTCAAAGTGCCTGCAACTCTGAACTGCTAATTTGAGCCTATAAATGCAGTCTGCTAAATAGAGAAAGTGTCCGGTAGTTGAACACTGTGGGACGTTTTCTTGTGGATGGCCAGTGGCAGCTCCTGGACTCTATTATCCTTCAAGGCCACTTATAAACAACAATGACAGAAAAGTCAATGAATAATTTAAATTAACTGTGTACACTGGGGCCTATCCAAAGCAGGTCCCTTCTACAACTAGCCTATTATTTAAACACAAACTTTTTATTCAAACACTATGCTTTATACACTAATAGTTGCTGCTGCTACTAGTACTACAATAGACTACTCTAGATAAGCTACCAAGACTTTTGCACACTGACATTTATTAGACTACATACATATTGCATTATGAAAAATGATTTGTCAGTCTCAGTAAAGTAAGAAAACATGATTTAGGAATATAGCCAACTACTACCAGACAGCCAGGTACCAGGGTCCACGGTTTTACTTGTACATATACAATTGTATAATTGTGTCTTATCACAGTCTTATATCAGCCCCTTGCTATTTTTGTTACATATTTTTATTTAATTATAACCTTTTATATTATTGTTCTTTGTTATTATATTATAGGCCAGTTATATTGTTGTGTGTGAGCTACTGAGTCCAAATAATTTTCCTTGTGGATCAATACAGATTGTGTAAGTCTAAGTTTAAGTTTAAGTCTAGAAATATGTAACCTCATCATAAACAATTAAGGACAAAGTAGCCAGCCAACCAACAACCCAATAAAACAGCCAAGAAGCTAAAGCTTTTAACATTTAGCAATATGAGAACATAACTACATGGTAATGATTAGGACTAACTTCAAAAAGATTTAAAATAGCCTTTATGAGTCCTGTACTGTACTGTGTGGCAGTACCAGCGGTGGCGGAGGGGCTAGCATGCGTCTCTTTCATGTTACATTATAATTGATTGGAGTCGTCAGAGCGCTGTGGAGTGACCTTGCTCTGGGGCCATGTTGAGAACAAACATAGAGGTGCCTTACAGTAATGGAGCGTAATGTTGGCGGGGCATCTGAGCATGTTTGTGTGCATGAGTGCGAGAAGAGACACAGGGGGGAATAAATCATCCTGGGACAAGATGGAGGTGACATCTTCCATTCATGCGCCGCGTTTCAATATAATGGATTTAATTTTCGGGAGCCGCCTCACTCAGTTGCTGGAGGAGCTGTCAAAATACTGTGCTGGGAAAAAGCCTAATACACAAAGGAAACAATAAAGAAGTGTTCAGTGCTATGTATTAGCTCTAAGTGTATCATCCATCAGCAGGATAATGGACTTTTATACAAACAATGTATATTATTTTCATCAGGTGGACAGCAAAGGAAAAAAAAAAAACAGTTCTGATCAATATTTTTTGTTTTGTTTTGAGCTTCAAGTTATTTATTTCAAAAACAGTCTGCTACATGAGTCATTAACCGAAGTTTTGTCATCATGTATAGGGAGTTTTACCACAATCAAAAGGGCTTATGGATTTAAAAAAATGTTAGAAACACTATTTATTCTGCTGTTGATTTAAAAGATTTGACAAAATTAATGTAAAATGGTACATATTTGTCTTAGTAAGAACATAATTCCCAGAGGACTTGCATAACACACTCCCTGCCAGTAGCTCGACTGACCTTTCCTCCTGTTACTTCAAAGTGCATTCATTACAAATGCTAATTTATTAATAAAACAAAACCAGTGGAACCAGACTGGCACTGGGCACATTATTTTTGCATCACCACATAGCCTAATCCTCCTCTCCTTCTGCTGAGGACTAGAGCTGCTCCACAGGCAACACTTTTAACTGTCCAGGAGAAGAAAAACACCACCGCCTTGTGTCCCATGTTTGATCTCCTCTCCTCACAATCTCCTGCCTGGACTAA